GGGAGGGGTTATTTAACACGGGCTTAGTCCAATATCGATGGCCCACTGGGTGATCCTTATGTTTATAAGTTGTATACTATTGATTTTAGACTGGACTTGTGCTGAGTGGCCAGGCCCTATCTGTGAGCCCAACTTTAGCTTATACGCTAAACAATTAATTACAAATATACCCATTGCGATTTGTTTAAAATACATAATACTTCTATGGTTTTAAAATTACATATCTCTATTTTTAACAAAATTTATTTAACAGAATTAATAGATTTTTTTTTAAAACTATTCTCTTATATAATAATAAAATTACTAAAATTGTTAATTGAAAATATATGACTACTGAAAATATATGACTACTTTTTAGAGAATTGAGTTTTTTTGTTTCTTTCGTATTTTTTTATTTTTAGTAAATTTTTTTAACATTTTATGTAATTTTTATATTGTTAAATAAACTTAACTAAATAAGTATAATATTTGAGAAATGTTTTTTTTTATGAAAAAAAACAAAATACAAAAAAAAATGAAAAATCAAGATATTTTTTTATTTTGTTATATTCAATGAATTTTTTAATATTTTTGTACAAATTTTTTAATTTTTAAATATATTAAAATTAAGAGAATCTAAAAATTTTAAAAAAAAAGATTAAAATATTTTAAATAATTATTGAAAATATAAAAAATAAGAATTAAAATTTTTAAAATTATTTTTAAAAACTGAAAACTAAATATGGTGAATATAATTTTAAAAATTACATACAGTAATTCATATTTTAAGTAAATTATTACTAATTTATTATGAACACTTGTTTTGAAAAGTTAGTTAAAATTTGAATTTTTTTTTGTTTTTTTAAATTTTTTTTAAAAGATAAAAAAAATTAAGGGAATTTTTTTTAGGGTGGCATCTCAAAAAATTAATCATGACTTTGCTAATATTTTGAGAGTTTGGAACCTTTTTTCAAAATGGGACTACTTTTAAAAATAGAGCTGCTACCAAAAAAAAAAAAAAAAAGAAGAAGAATAAGAAGAAGAAGTAGTAGTAAGACCAAGTTGAGTCTACAATCACAAAAAATGAAACAAGGATTTGAATTAGCAATTATTAAAAAAAAATTGCGACATTCAAATTTAGCAAAGAGATGTTTTTTTTAATGTTGATATAACAGATACAACTGATCTAATAAGGATGAACAATAAAGAAACACAACTCAAAAATAATTGAATAACATCAATTGATGATCTAACGGAACAACAAAACAATCAACTATCAAAAACACAAAAAGTGAAGTAAAAATGACAAAAGATAAACAACAAAACTAGGCATTTTAGAACAAGTGTAAATTATTGAACTGTACGACAACAAATAAACCAAAGAAAATTGAACAATTACTATTTTCATTTTGATCAATTTTCTCTGGACTGTAAAACATTCAGACAATAACAATCCAGAGAAAATTGAACAATCACCATTTTCATTTTGATCAATTTTCTCTAGATTATAAGACATTCAGACAACAACAACCTAGAGAAAATTGAACAGGCAATAACTTAAAGTGCTAACCCATCCAGGAGACCCATTGTTGTGCATTCTCACACGCATCCCTGGACCAAAGCTAAAGGTACTAAATTGCGCAGACATAGCAGGATTCATTCCACCAAAGAAGTTTCTAAATATCTCCTCAGTATCAATGTCAGCCGCATAAAGCCTATGAAACCCTTGTCCCTGACGCCTCCTTTCATACACAGGTTCTTCTGATCCAACAAGATAACACCTTTTCCTACTCTGCCCATCACTCAAACACTAAAACGCCTTTGAAACAAACTTGAAGGCTTCATCGGCCCTCGAAACAGTGTTTTAATCGAGATGAACCTTCAATGAAAGTTTTCGATAGGCCTTGCGAACATCATCAACAGAACAACCCTTCTCTAACCCCAAAATCTTTGGAGAGGAAGGAGTTTAGAGTGAGAGAGAGAAAAAAAAAATGAGATTTAATTTGAGAGAGTCAAATTTCTCTTGAAAGGGACCTTAGACTAGTCAAATTTGAGAGAGTGAAAAGACCTTAGACATTATAAAATAATATTATGTGTTAATGTAAATGTAAATTACTACTACACCTACCACCAAACCTACCTCCACCTACTACTCCTATCACCTACTACACTCCACCAAACCTACCTCCACCACTCACTCCTCACCTACTCCAGAATCATCTCCTATATAATAGGAATTCTTGTACAAAATATATACACAACAATCTTGTAACACAAATCAATAATACATCATTTATAACATGGTATCAGAGCTATAGGTTAGCTCTAGGTGATCTTCACCTTCCGGCGGGCGGCAACCTTGCCTTCACCGCCTGCCGGACCCCAACCGTGCCAATTGAAACCTCCAACACATACCTCCTCTCCTTTCACCTTGGTCTCTGCAACCTCACTCTGTAAAATCATCACCTCCATCGACATCGTCCAAGTCGGCAACGGCAGCCGCAGCAGCACCGTTCTCTTCCTCATTCTTCTCTCTCTACCCGCCGGAAATTGAGACTCCAAAGGTAACCAACTCCTAAGAGCCCTGTTCTGCTCCAAAATTCTGTTCTTACACCTCTGCCCCGTATACCTCACTTGGGGTTTCTAAGGACAATAATCAACAAACAACCCAGCAACAACAACAACCCAGCTTTCTCTCTCTACCAACAACAACAACAACCCAGCAAGAGCAATACCTTCCTCACCATGGCCTACATCCTCGCCGTCAACGCCTCCATCCTCTCCGACTCCGGCGCCACCTGCTCCGTCTCCGACTGCATCCCCCTCTGCTCCGACTCCACCGTCTCCGCCGCCAACTGCTCTACCATGAATCTTGATGTTCCCGAGCCATGGCTAGTTGAGCCTGTTATTGCTGTCCATGATCTGGATAATATATTGCTTGAGAACCTTGGTGACCTAAGGACCTTGCAAGCAGTGTTTGAACTTGAAGCTCTTGTTCTTACTGGACACTGTTCAGAGAAAGACCATGATCCTCCTCAAGGTCTTCAGCTGATTCTCGGAACTCTGAGTACACCTCACTTGGTTGATACCATTGTGTAGTGTGTTATCTGTGTGCTGGGTCTTTGCCTCCACCCTTGCTTTCTTTCTGCCCGTGCACCCCCCGAGGGACAGCCACTACTGTGTTGTTTTTTGAGAAAAGTCAGAAAACTTGCATCAAAATTCCCTTCTCTCACTTTACTTTTTCAAACCCACAGCTCCTTTTTCTTTCACCACTGATTCCCTTTCTTTTCTTTTCTTTATTTTTCACTTTCAAACCCACAATCTTTTTTTTTTAATCAACCCACTCAACTTTCTTTTATTTTAATATATATCTATATATATCTATGTTTATTATCATATATTGCACCGACTCTGTCTACTTTTACACACTATTGCATTTCTTTTTCCCCATAACTTCTCTCTCTCTCTAGCCATACTTTTCCACTACCCCACTTTTTTTTTTTTATTTTATTTTATCACATACTTGCCCGAGAGACAGTTGTCATGCCTTCTCTCTTTTTACTTTCTTTTTATTTTATTTTCTTTTATATTTTCTTTTCATGAAAACCAACACCCAAAAAAAAAAAAAAAAAAATTTTGTAGTAACTTTTTGAATTTTTGATTAAAATATGATGTAAAAAAAAAATAGTATGTTTGGGATGATTTTTTTATTTTTTACGAAAAAATGTGCAAAAAAAAAAAAAAAGAGAATCTTTGACTTTGTGGTAGAAGTTGCTGATTTTTTGATTTTTTTAGTAACTTTTTGACTTTTAGACTAAAAAGTGATATTGCCAAATGAGACCTAAGATTTGCTTCTGGTGCAGTAGTGATGTGTAAATGCATATATATTATATATATTTATTTGTTATTTTAGTTTGACTAAGTTGACGAAGGCTGTTCATGTTTCTATGGAAGATAATTATTGGGGGCTTTTTCCAAAATAAGTTAAAATACTAACCTATTTTTCAAACTAAGCCTAGTTTGTGTGGAATTCTCAAAATAAGCTGAAACGTTATTCCAAAACACGCTTTCACCATATTTCTGGCCCAGGTGCGGAAAGTGAATAAATCATAAAAGCGTTGTTACAAATCACGCTTTTAATTAAGAAAGCGTAGTTAGAAACCACACTTTTAAGGAAATCTGTTTTGTAAAGAAAGCATGGTTAGAAACCACGCTTTTAAAGAAAACTGTTTTGTAAATAAAGCGTGATTATAAACCACGCTTTTAAAGAAAATTTTAAAGCAGAAATTTCAATTGATTCACCATTACCTTTTTTCTTAAGCATGACGCTCCTTCGGCTCTCTTCCCTTCTGACTTTGGCAAATACTTCGCCAATGGATGGGAGAGGAGGTCTGCCAATAATTCTTTCTCGCACTTCATCGAACTCAATGTTGAGGCCGGCAAGAAACTTGTAAATACGGCTGTCTTCTACAGTTTTCTTGTGGTGGTTGCAGTCGTCAACCGATTTCCATTCGTATGTGTTGAAGATGTCAAGATCCTGCCACAACCTTTTCAACGAATTGAAATATTTGGTGACGGAATCATCTCCTTGACGAATCTCTCCCAACTTCAAAGTTAATTCGAAAACTTGAGATTGATTTCCTAGGTCAGAATATATCTGACTAACATTATCCCACAATTCTTGTGCAGTAGTATAGCACATGTAATTAGAGCTTATATCCTCCTCCATGGAATTGACCAACCATGTCATAACCATGGAGTTTTCAGCGTCCCAACTGTCGAACAGCGGATCATTAACAGCAGGAGCCTTCTTGTCACCAGTGATGTAACCGATCTTTCCTTGCCCACGGATATACATCCGGACAGATTGTGACCAGCGGAGAAAGTTATCACCATTTAGGCGGATGGTGGTGATTTGGACAGAGTGAGAGTTGGACGTTTTCACCGGAATGGCAGCGGCAGGGTTCTGCTTTCCAGTACCCCCTTATCCATGTAAAACCTTCCATCAAACATCCTGGTTATATCTCTCATTTGAGCAACTCTTCATCTATGTTGTGCATGCCAAACCGTGTTAGCTTGTTTCCTTGCATTTTGGTGGCTATTTTCGTATGACTTCGACGGAGTTCAAACCTCGTGTCATCATTTATGTGTTGTGGTAACCCAAAGGATGAGCTAGTTAGTGTCAACACAAACAATGTATGATTTTTCCATGAAAGATATAAGAAGTCATCTTGTAAGTTTATGTTGTTAAATATGATCCTTTATGATGACTTGTCAGGATTAACTGGGCATTTTAACTGAACAATAGACATTTCTTATGAAATATGACTGATGAAGTACATATCATTTTCAGCTGCTTTTGATTTGATGAAATAAGCCAATTTTAAGGTTGGGATTGTGGTTACTCCTCCTGTGCAACATTTCCTTTAATCTTTTACTAGCCAAGCTATCCATGCATTTTTTTTTATCTTTTGTGGTGTGGAAATGCTTGATAATTGTTGCTATTCAAACAATAACTTCTTTTCATTTGAAACTTATTCTTGTTTCTTGTTACCCATAGAACTTTGACAAGTTCCCTTCTTGTTAGAGTTACATGCAATGCATAATTGTGAAGGATGAAGTACAAAAATATGAAAGGTTTTCATCTCCAGACATTAATTTTTCTTCAAAAAAAAGAAAAGATATAACATTTTAAAATATGCAGACTAAACGAGGAATTCTTTTCACACTTGCGATTTGAAATAGGGCAACTCCGGTTTGCTGTTTCAAAAACTGAGGTTTGTCTTTAAGCTATATATTAGACTTAAATTCTTGCCAAATGTATGAGCAGAACCCCAATATACATATGCTGATGGATTTTGTAGGATATGGAAGATAGATTGATTGAGCTCGAAGCACTGCAAAAGGCTTTACAGGAAGGAACAGGTTTGTTAAAGACCACAAATATTGGTCTAGAAAGATTTGTATTCTCACTTGTATTCTACAAACCTATAATATCTCTTTCCATGCTCTTCTACAGAAGCTTATGATAAAATGCAAGCTGAACTCATAAAGGCAAAGGAAAGCCTAACCAAAATCTTATCATCGAAGGACGTAACAACAACTGTATGTATACTATCTTTTATGCAATTAAAATGCCCAGTCCACACTTCTCCTTAAAACTCAAGTATTAAGGAGAGGGAATCTGAAACCTTATAACTAGCACAGATGGGGCAACTGTAGGCGATGTGGAACACATTCCAACACATCCTCCTGGACCACAACATACACTAATACCAAATTGAATAGCCCAACCCATACTTCTCCTTAAAACCCAAGTATTAAGGAGAGAAAAACTATAACCTTATAATCAGCATAGATAGGGCAACTCCAGGCGATGTGGGACACATTCCAACATATGCCACCAAATTTTTTATATTAAATATAGAAAAATGCAAAAAACAACTCTTAGTGCTGTTGATAGTGCTGGAAAATGTGTAAAAAGTATATAAAAATATGTAATAGTGCTTTGGGACATGTGAAAAGTATATTGGGATTATAAATATTTTGGCAAATTGTGATTCTTAAAGACGGCCCTTAGGGCTGTCATTAGCTGAACCCTTAAGTATATTGTGGATCTTATGTTGCTCAACTTAGATCATTCTATGTCATTATGCAGTTGCTAGAGATGGTTGAGCGGAATGAGCTCAATAGATCCTTATTGGCACTTCTTGACGAAAACATAGCAAATGCACATAAGGGTGACCAGGTGAGAGACTTTCTGAATATATTTTCATTTTTCAATTAAGAATTTCATTTTTCAATTAAGCAACAGTTTGTATTTCACAAAACCTTGATTAGCATTTTAGACCCTTGAAAATTTATATAATTTACTTCGGCCCTCCCAAAGTTAACAAAATCCTTATTAGCTTATGCAATTTTGAGTATTTATAATTAAAAAAAATTGCATTTTGATCCCCCAAAATCTATATAAATTTATTTTGACGCTTCTAAAATCTAATAATTTTACCGAGGCTCCTCTTTGTTATACTAACATAACAGAAAAGAAAAAGAAAAAGAAAGGAGTAATTAGTTTCAACTTCAACCCCCCAAAAAATTGGAAAGATGATGTCTCTCTGAACCTCTTCGCAGAAGGAACAAAACTAAATTATCTATACTCTCCCTACACTGTCCAAAAACAAATTTACTTTCTTCAAAAGCACATTGAAGTGGCTCCGACTTAGATCTAATGCTGAGTGCAGTTTAAATGTGTAAACCTGATGTACTAATGCCACATAGTTTTAACTGTCAATTTTCTCATCTCTGTATCCCTACCCTTTTACTCCCATGTTTCATAATCTTCATTATTATGGTTGCAGGTAGAGGTCGTCTTTTCTATGCAAATACAATTCTAGTAATTGCGCTCTATTTCTTCTATATATATGATGCTCTGTACTTGCTCCACTAACTCCAATGAAGGTCCAATTATTGAATATATCATCTGTTGCTATTATCTTCCATTGAGAAAAAAAAAAAAAAACTACGTAGAAGTGCCATCTATTGTACATCTTTAAGTTTGGGAAAATCTGCCAAGTACAGGCCTTTGTCCTAGAGTTAAATATTTTTTACTCAACATATTTGAGGGTACAAAAATAAGCAATGCTACATAGTACATACACAGAAATTTTACTTAGAAATTTACTCAGAAAATTCAATGTGTGGTCTACATTCATTCTAGGTATAGGTCCCTATAGACATGAGTTGAATCTCGACCACACATGAACTTTCAGGGTAGGATTCTGGACATTTAAAAAAAAATTGTAACCACATCTAAACCAAACCTATGTTACCTAGACCGTGGATCATTTTAGTAAGGGGAATAGAAATGGGAATGGGACATGGTCTGCCACATGATCTAAAATGTGTCATGATATGGGTAGATTTCTTAATTTGACATGCGATATATTATAGTGTATTATTCTTTAAATTAATTATTCAACAACAATTCTACGAGCATTATGACCCATTATTTTTTACATTTTGTCAATCCGAAACTCCCCTCTCGCTGGATTTTAGTCCATTATATTTTATTTTTCCCTATTAAGGAGAACTTTTAAAGAAAAACACAGAAAAATTAGGGGAGTACTTTAGATTGCCAAATTCACCATTTTGAAACAAAAGTGTGTCATGTTTTGGAATGTACGTGCATTTCAAAATGTTAAATAACGTTTTCTAGTAACACTGAACCAAACTGAACTCCTAACCCAATTTCATGTTGATTTCTGACATGCAGAAACTAGCAGCAGCATTCATGGAAAAGCTTCGTGGGGCTATGCTGAAATACATGACTGTTTAATATTCAGGTGGTAAATATTAAGTTATTCTTTCCATTATTGACAGATAAACACAAGTTTGCTATTACTGTTGACCTTACTGCATCAGATAATTATAGTTATTTGATGATCCTAGAAAACAGGAAATCAGCTTATGACCTTATTGTCCTCAAACAGAAAAAAAATAAAATAAGATTTTTTGTTCTTCAAAACTTGAAATCGTAGGCATCACCACTGATTATATTAGAAGTTGCAGGAAACAAAAGAAGCCAAAATTGATTGCTTTCAATTGCGATGTAATATTGTTAGTAATTTACATTTCAGTGGTATTAACTATTGATTACTGAATGATCTTTTTGAATATTTGTCACAAAAATTCAATAGGAGAAATATTTCATATGAATAACTCTGAAATTGTTAAAAAATTACCACCTAAACCACATGGTTGGTTAATAATTGTACTCTCATCTCCCCTTGCGTTGTGTTTGGTTGGGGATTTGAGGAAGGATTTGGAAAGGAAAAGGGGAAAGTTAGGTGAAATGTGAATAAAATATACTTACATTTCACTAGCTTTCACACACCTTTGCCCTTTTCCTTTCCAAATCTCTCTCCAATCTCCCAACCAAACATAGCATTAGTTGAGCTCCAACTGTCTACGCAAAATTAATGAATATTGAAGGCATATTTACTACTATAATACATTGTTTATGAAAGATTAGTTTGAGAGAGTGAGAGAAGTTAAAAAATTACCACCTAAACCACATGGTTGGTTAATAATTGTACTCTCATCTCCCCTTGCGTTGTGTTTGGTTGGGGATTTGAGGAAGGATTTGGAAAGGAAAAGGGGAAAGTTAGGTGAAATGTGAATAAAATATACTTACATTTCACTAGCTTTCACACACCTTTGCCCTTTTCCTTTCCAAATCTCTCTCCAATCCCCCAACCAAACATAGTATTAGTTGAGCTCCAACTGTCTACGCAAAATTAATGAATATTGAAGGCATATTTACTATAATACATTGTTTACATAATAAATAATTTTACTTATTTGGTGACTTTGAAGGTGCAAGTAACGAGGAAATGACTTTTAGTTTCAATTTCTGGTGTTAGTTTTTGAGAAACGAGGCAGAGACTCACATTATACTATCCCCACTTGTATGTGTGAGTGTGTATTCAATTCAAGGACCATCGAGAACCATCGACGATTAATCCAGCTCACCAACCTGTATTATAGAAATCACTCTTCGAATCCCTTACTAAATTGCTTGTCCAGTCTGTAACGAAGAGACTTGCTTCTATGCCGACAGGCTAGTGGTTTTGAACATTGTATTTTTTTTGGTCTTATCTAATAATGTTTCTTATGTGTATAGATATTTTGAATGTCTTGATTCAACATTGATGTTTTATATATGTTTTTATGCACACGATTGAAGGATTGACTCTGTTCAACACTTGCGTGGTTTTGAAATCGCATTTTTATAGTGAAATTGTTCGAATCCCAATTCCAAGTTTACACATTTATTAACACTACCAAAAGTATATTTTACTAGTGACATTGACTCACTATTTTTTAATGCTTTTCTGCCAAATCCAACTCAAATCCTTATAATGAACCCACTTAGGCACAAGTTAGGATTAAACAGAGGTTAGGCATCTATTCAGCTGGCATTAAAGTATATATAATTCTATATCAAACTGCAGATAACACTGAGGAAAAAGGAAAGGGTTAGGAAAGAAGCCCATACAACGCACAGATATACGTGTATATATATATATAGAAAGAGAGAGAGAGAGAGAGAGAGAGAGAGAGAGAGTTGCAAGCTCGAGTTGGCTCGATGAGGGCTTGCATTAATATATTATTTGTGTTAAATAATATAAAATATAGGATAAATTATACCAACGCTCCTTATAGTTTGAGACTTGTGTCATTTTGATCCTTAACTTTTTAATTGTAACACATTTGATTCTAAATTTTAAATCTTGTTCCAAATAAGGACAATTGAAGATACCATTGCTTAATTTCAAAGGCAAAATCGTTAATTTGATAAAATATAAACTAATTTGACAAAAATAAATGTCAAAAAATATTTTTAAATTTTTAAAAATTATTTTTACTAGTTAAAGATAAAATTATGTAAAATTGATAAATCTTTAGGCATTTATTTTTTTTACTAAATTAATTTTTATTAGTGTTTGGATGATGATCATGTAGTGGATGGTTGTTTTTATTTTCATTAAATTAGTTTCTATTTTTTCAAAAGTCAAATATGGCGACAATTTTGATATCGTTATTAAACAAATCTATTAAATTAAAAAAAATTAAAATTAAAAACATTTCATATATTAAATACATTGATTACACATTAAAATTCTAATAGCCGCCCATTACATGATTGTCATCCACAAACATAATAAAAATTAATTTGGTGAAAAAAATAAATGTCTAAAAGATTTATCGATTTTACATAATTTTATCTTTAGTGGATAGAAATAATTTTTAAAAATTAAAAAATATCTTTTTGACATTTATTTTTGTCAAATTAGTTCATATTTTATCAAATTGATAATTTTGGCCTTAAAATTAAACAATGGTATATTCAATTGTTCTCATTTAGATGAAAATTAAAAATTTAAGATTAAATATATCACAATTGAAAAATTAAAGACCAAAATAACACGAACCCAAATTATAAAGATTATTAATATAATTTGTTCTAAAACATATTATATATGTATATTTAATATAGAATAATATTTAACGAGATGACGTGGTTTTTAAGTTAAACCTTTTCTTTATTATTAAATTTCAAGTTGAGCTAAAGTTAGATTAATTTTGTCGAACTCATGCTCTTCATAACTCGACTCATTTACAGTGATATTATTGCTTCTAGATTTTTTTTTTGAAAAATGCTTGAGAGCACTAATTAATGCTCCCACTAATTAGGTGGCAGTGGGTTTCGTCATTAATGATGTGATGTTTTAGTCTTAGAGTTGTATTTTTTTTTTTTTTTACTTTTTTAATACATTAATACTATTAGTAGTGATGTTTTTAATGAAATGAATCATTCGATATAAAATTATGAACCTCACATTTTTTTCCAATAAACAATGTATTAACTGAGAGTGTTCCAGGACCACCAATAACTTTTCGTTGCAAAGCATATAACAATCATGATCCTCTTTTGGTCAGCTTTTGCAATATTTTCATGTAGGGGCCTTTTTTATTTCCATGTGTTTAAATGGGCAATTTTTTTTTTTTTTTTAAGAACTAAACAATCATAATATTCTTTAAACAGTTTACTCTACTACTCAGCCTATAAACTGGTTGAATTACCTTGTTTTCTAAAACTTAATTATACCATATTTTTAGGTTCAAAAATTGATGGATGTGTTCCCATCTAAAGTATATTTTATTTACTTTAAACAAAAATAGAGCCCAACAAAATTGTGTATAAAGGTTTATATTAAATATAATCTATAAAAAAAAATAGATTAATAATCGGCTTAGTCTAAAGGACTATTCTCAAGCCAAACTCATTTAATAAAGTGACTTAAAAATTAATCCAACTCGACCTTATGGACTTAATTATCAATCTCAAATCCATAAAAATATGATTTGAGATGGGCAAATCATCAAGCCAATACCCACCTCTAGTGCTCTTGGTAAACATATTAGGAAATTTAAAATATTTATACATCCTAAATACTTACTACATATCGCTTTTTTCATAACGGTGGTTTGGTGAAGTAAATAGAGAAAACCAGTGCTATAGGATCAAAATCAGCAAAAAAATAAGTGCACCAATGAATTTAGAAGGTCCAAATTAGGTGGGGACCAAGTTGAACCGCCCAAAAAATAGGCTAAAATTGGACAGAATGAGCAAAATCAGAGGCTGCACTGTTTAGGGGTGACGTCAAAATGCTAAGGCTGACGTCAACGTGTTAGCGTGGCACGGAGGCCTGATGACGCGTGCGTACGTGTGACGTCAGCACACGAAGGCAAAGCCAAGCGTGTATGGCTAACGTAATGGGATGGCATCAACGGTTGCGCAGCTAAGCAACAAGTTGGCTATGTACGCGTGAGAACGCGTGTACGACTAACAGCAGAAGCAATGGACATGCCGACCACAAAAACGGCATGTCAGGGCGCGTGCGACACTTTTTTGGTGATGAAATTGGTGTCATTGGAATCGTGAGAAGATTTCGATTAGTTTAATGGTAAATGGAAAAATTTAGAGTAAACAAAAAAATGGCGAAACAGTCCGAGCAGTGTTTGGGTAATTGAATAAATGTTGTAGTACGACTGTGTACGGGACTACGTAGAAAAGGAAGAGAAAGAAGGCTCTAATTTTATGATCTAGGGCTCTGATATCATGTTAGAATGGTTGAAAAAAAAAGGAAAACTGTGTATCTATATTATATGGAATTGAATTAAATACAATATGAGAGCTTGTTTTTATAAGTTGAATACAAACCTAGATAAGTATAGAAGAAGATAGAGATAGAGAGATATAGAGATACAAGAAGACAAAGATAGAGAGAGATAGAGACAAGTTATATCTACAATCCAAGAAGATAAGTATAAAGTTAACATATACATTAACAAATTTTAAAATAAAAAAAATAAAAAAAAAAAGATTATAACTTAGCTGAAGAATTTGAAATGTGCAGCCAAAGTTCAACAGCTCCTGAGCCATCTGCATTCATGTAGGCCAAAAGTAAATATCCGGAAGCAATTAAATCATTGATATTTAAGCATGAGGTAATGGGTTCTGATAAAAAATTAAAAAAATAATAAAAAATTGAATTCAAGAACCTTGAGACAAAATCATGATAAGGACTTGTACATAGTCTGCCCAAGCACTGCCTGCAATCTGATCGAGAATGAGAGAGAGGCAAAGGTGGTCAGAAAGCATGCCAAACAGGGGGGAAACAAAAGTTACAGAGTTAGAAACAACAAAACCAAGCTACTTTCCAAGGATACAAATAATACAATGCTTTGTTATTCCCTCTCCTGTCAAATCTCAAGATACCTAGAAGAAAGTGATGCCCTAATGGCTTTGCTATGACCTAAATTACACGAAGTGAGACGAGTTAGGATGCTTTGTACTTATCCAAAATCTTAAATTCCCAGTATTCAATGCATTCCGAATTCGATTGTGCGATTGAGAGTGCATTGTATAAAGAGGATACAAATTGTGAGTGAAATTAACCAAACAACTAGCTAATGTGACGAGTCCACCTTCCTACTTTGTGCGTGAACACAAGTTGTAATCCAATGGATTCGCCATGATATTCACGTCTCCCTCTACACTTGAGGACCTAAACTACATCAAAATGGAA